ACCACTGGTTGTAGATGAAATTGTTAAACCCGATTGAATAGTTGGATATGGGTTTGTATACTTTGTGCTTTGCATATTTGATAAAAATGCCGGATGAGATGACTTTTCAAAAGTATTCGTATTATAATGCTGATCGAATGAAGAAAAGATTTCATCTTCTGAAGATTCAGCTTCATCAGAATGTAGATGGTAACTTCGATTAGAAGAACGTTTGCCATTGCTGTTAGGTTGTTCAAGCAAGGAATCAACACTAGGTTCAATTGATTGAACCTTTGAAGTATTAGGTCTTGCATTCATTTGAGACGGTACTTTATGCTGATAACTATCAGCAGTATAAGACGTAGATTCAAGACTCTCACGATAATTTGGTGATTTGTAAATTTGAGAAGCCTTGAGATTTTGATTTTGCTGAGTTTCCATATAATTATGTCGACTTTGTGATTCTATGGAAGGTGAGCGGCTTGATTGATGCTTGTTACAGATTTCAGTTTGTAAATTATCGTTATCTGAATCAATGGTAATATTTTCTTTATAAACGTAAGCAAAAAAAAAATAAAAAATTAAAATTAAAATTTTGGTTGGTTGCATAGTACACATATAATTTTTACAAATATACCTTTATCCTTGGTCGTACGTGACTTTCGTGATTTTTTAGATTTTGGCAAATCATTTGAATGTTCAGAAACATCTGACTCAACTGATGTAGTGTTAACTTTTTTCTTTGCGTTTCTTGTTCTTGTTACCTGTTTGCCTATAAAGAAAGAAGTTTGCGTCAAAATCGATAATGATTGATAATTATAAACAGGTATTGATACTTACTTGAAGACGACCTTTTTGGTGGCATTTTAATTGAAATTTCCAAGCGAAAAGGTAAAAATAAAAGTCAACGCTATCATTGATTAAATTTATATGAAACGATTTTACTAATAAACGTAATCAAAGTTACGTATTTGATTATTATTTTGCAATCGAAATATAAGCTAATTAATTTTATTTTTTTAGTATACATCAATGGATTTGATTTGATTTTCACAAGCATTAATAACATAATATACAGCAATCAATACTTTTCAAAGAACCCTCATCATGAAACTTATTTGTAAAAGGATTAGCATTATGTTCGATAAAATATTAATATATATTTTACCTACAATTCAAATTTGATTCAATTAAAATTAAGGTGTACTTATTTATTTATTTTTCCAAAGATTCTCAGAATATGTACTATATATAATTGAGCCTTCTATGCTTTAAAAGACTCGAGAGCGCATGTGCGCAAGACAGTATTAAGTTCACGCATTAAAGTATTTCATCTTTCCCTGAAGCATCCGTCAAGTAAATTCTTACTATACTTTGTAAGTTGCAATTTATTGTGACTTACAAAACCTGATCAACGTTATATATTTATAATGTCATATATTTTCAAATGATATAATTCATTTTAATATATTCTTTTTAGACGCTACGTTGGTTGGTCAATTAAAAACAATAATAAATAACAAAGTATACAAACCCATATCCAACTATTCAATCGGGTTTAACAGTTTCATCTACAACCAGTGGC